TGCTTGTATAAAATGAATGAAATTCTAGCAGTGTTTAAAGCTCAAAAAACGTATATGTTTTCAAGACTTAGGGTTATAGGGCTTTCTGCTACCTCATGAGGTGGGGAATAGTGCCTAGTCCAGTATAAGTCATTTTCTTAGTTATAAAGTTGAACCAATAAGTTGCTTTTTAATAAAGCTCACCCCATTGGTTCTAGGAATTATCTTTGTGGATAAAAAGAATATCTCTCCTTCCTAACATCCTTTTAAATTCCAAAATACAGTGCTCTGGCCCTTCTCTCATAGTTTCCCTCTTCTAACACCTTTATACATCCCACATATTGACTGGTGTGGGGTCAGGGGAAGTCAGCATCCAGGACTTGCTCTGGATCAGAGGGCACGGGGAACTGAAGAGTTGTAGTATCTTATCATATGTCTTGCAGCTAAGGCACATACAAAAAGCAAAGAGTTTACACCGAGACATGCAAGAGTCACGAAAAGATGCAACGGCTCCTCCACAATGAAATTGCACACTGCCTTAACTAAAAGGCATCTTGCCAAAGTTGGAAGGCATAAGCACTTCCTAAAATGGTGTTGCACTTCTATACTGGAACCATTACCTGGCAGCTGGAGTGACAGAAATGGATGGAGTGCTGGAAACTATAAACATTTTCTCAGAAGAGAAACCTTATTATTTGTGTTTGTGTGTATTTCCCCACTTCTCTACCTTCCTTCCTTGTAAATTTATTTTGAATGCTCATGAAATAAATTCCCCTTAGGTGCCCAGACCAAAAATTCCTCTGGGTAGTATTAAAACACCAGATATCCACCTTTCCTAAATCTGGGTTACAGCATACCATGGGACCTGGCCCCTGAGGACATTTGCCTTTTAGATGGAATGATTTCACAGGAAAAAATATCTAGACAACTTTACTAGGAAAACAAAGGAGAGCAGTTGAGCCCTCCAGCCTGAACTAGTATTTAACAATTGAACAAAAATACTTAATAACATGAGTATGAAAGATCCTGGCTAATTTTCAGACAACCCTTCTTAAGGTAGATTAAAATCTAGGGAATACCTTCACTATGATGACAAATAAAGAGGGGTCCTTATTCTCAGGAATTTTTGAAACTGCTAATTGACCAATGATAAAAAAGCGAATTGAAATTCTTTCGCCCAAAGAATAGCAATTTCACCAAGAGGTAGGTAGGGTCTGGCAGGGCAGGGTTGAATATTCTAAGTGGAAAGGATAAAGAGCTAGAGAAAGGTGGGCTGAGGAACCGAAGGAGCATAAGCACCCGAAAACGTTATGCTAAAGCTCAACAGAATTTGAAAGGAGCATCTGGAATCGCTGGGGTTTGTATGCCAGCTACATAAAGCAGAAAGTTGGCAGCTACAGCTTGTATCTGACATGGGTGACAGCCAAACGGGAGATGGGTATATACAAACTGGTCACCATTTACTTCTTTTTGACAGTAAGTTCTCGTAGTCTTTCTACTGTCATGTTTTGTTTCTTTTTAAAGACACTTTCTATTATGTTGATTTGGGCTTTTACCTTTGTTTCATAGATCTATGTCTTTTTGAATTGTATTGAAAACACAGCAGATGCTCCCTAAAATTCACTTCTGTTTCGAATCGTGAAATTTTTTTCCCCAAAAGTGAGTCCTTTCGCATTTTGAATGCTGTATTCTCTTCTGTCTTTATTGCTGTATCTTCATGAATGTTTTTTTCTGTTTCGTCATCCTTGAGTAAAGGGAGGTGAATGTCAGCTGGGTACTTTTCTATAAACAGGGAGACGGGTTGTTCTAGGTTCCCTCGCCATCCGCCAGGAAGTTGAATCCTCTGCTTATCTCATAAGCTGGAAAGACAGGGGTACATGTAAATTGCTACTGTCTCCCACGCATCCAAAAGGTGCATTATTTCTGTGTCATTTCCTCTCTGGATCCGTTGAAGCCACTTGGCTAGGGTTTTGCTTTCTATTTGCAGCTTCCTGTTGGGTCAGAACTTCACACTGAATGCATAAATGTGACTGCCCAATGTCTGCCTGGCACCACTGGTGACTACATCAGGGAGAAGCCTCTAAATGGCTTTCTGCTAACTGTGGCACAAAGCCTGGGTCTCTCCAGTGGAGCTGATTTCAGTGCTACTGATTGGAACTGCTGAGTGAGATTCTGAGTAAAGCTTTCACTGAAGGCCCCACTCCTGCTCTGGCCTGGGGTCCCAGCCCCCTGACGAAGGCGATATGAGGCCCTTCATAACTTGATTCTCTCAATACTGTGCTTTCCCAGGAGTGGAATGGTTAAAATGTAGTGACTATAAGTCCATAGTCCATAATAATGTCCTTAATATTTCCAATTATTTTTCAACTGATGAGAATTAGTTTTTAGTTTGTCAAAGTGGCATAGGAAGTGTTTGTATGAGAAACAGGAGATTGTCCTAGTAAAAGGAGAAGTGTCAGCTCATTTTCATGTTTAGTTGTTCTTGTATTATCAGCATTTTATTTCATCTGCCTCCTCTTTCCAGAATCTTTTTAAATGACTTGTCCATTTTATAAAGTTTGAGTTAGTTAAATCTAGGTCATGAATCGACAATCCATTTAACTGGAGACTCATGAATCCACTCCCTTGGAAGACCACTGTCTAGAGTATGCTTTAAAGTTTTTTTGTGTTTGTTTTGTTTTCTGGAAAGGATATGGATAATAAATTTTGAAGTTTTCAACACCTGAGAATAACTTTATTGACTTGTCATGTACTTGGTAAGTCTACAGATGTAGATATAAATATCTTGAATTTTTCCCATATTATTCTCAAAAATTGATACTGCTATTAAATTACTTTTTGATGTCTGGCATGATAGAAGTCGATGGCCAAGACAATCTCTTTTTGTTACTTTGTAAGTATTATGTTTTATTTTCTCAAATTCATTTCTTTATTCTGTGAAATCAAAATTACAGCAGCATACGTTTGGTTTTTTAAATTTACTTTGAAAAAATTGTGTTTGATCTCTATTCATCTGTTTACACAAGTTTTACTTTAGCCTAGGAAAACTTATTTGATTAAAGCCGCTTCTGTCGTTGATTTCCTATGAAAGTTTTATTATAGGTAGATTAGATCTTCTGGTTTTTTCTTCTATTACTCTTACAATTTCTATCATTTTCTTTGTTTTTGTTCTTTCTTCTTAGGTTCTAGAATTGAGATTCATATCAATGCAGATTCATATCAGAATCTTTAAGTCCCAAATGAAGAGAGGCATTTTTTAAAAGTCAAATTTTACTCTCCTGTTACTTTGTTGTTTGAGAGACCAAACAGCCTAGAGGGTAGCTGGGCCCCTGGAGGTGAGAGTCAGAACTGGAGGCAGAGTTAGCCAGGAATATGTTTTGCTAAAGAGCTTCCAATCCTTATTTGGAACAGCAGTCAGGGCTCCCTGCTGCCATCTCCCCATTCTTTGGCAGGCTGGCCATCCCTTCTGTGTGAGTGACTGGCAGGCCCTTCCCTGCCAACTCCCAGTCCCGTGCTGCCTCTGAAATTCAGAGCTCTTCCTAGTGCTGCTAATGGCATTCACAAGACCGACCTTCACTTCCAAGCCTGCAGAGGCTTCTGCTGATTTCCTTTGCATATTTCCCTTTAATATATTGGAGATTCATAATTCAGGTAGAAACTAACTGAACCTAATCTTATTTGTATTTTATACCATTGAAATTCCTGAAAATTTTTGTATGGTTGACCCTCTTGCCTCCTTTTTAAGGTTGATCCAAGATTGTTTTTCTCATTCTTTATTGTGGGTCATTTTCATGAAAATCAGAAGGAAGTAGTTTATCTACCTGGCCAAGAAGACAACCTATTTTCTCCTATTAATTTAAGTCTGAGGCTATTTTGAAGTCAGGAAGGTGAGAGCAGATTTCATATTACCAAGGGAAGTGGAGATTCAACAATAATCTTAAATATCTTGCTGGAATGTTTCTCATTTAGTTACCTGCAGTGATCAAAGTCATTGAATAACAACAACAATAGTTATAACAATCGCTTTTTTAAAGAACAACCATGAGTCATTTACTCTATATCAATTTCATTCAATTTTTATGTCAGCTTCAGAAATTTCATACTTTGCTCTTCATTAAGATAACACTCAGAGATGTTACATAACTTACCTAGGGTTGCACAACTACTAAATTATGAAGTGAGTTTGAAACCCCAGTTTGTCTTCAAAGTCTCTACTCTTTTCATTGCTGGTTATCAAATAGCCTGCAGAGTTGACCAAACTCCAAATCTCTGTGGTATTCACAGTATTCTTAGTTACTGCATGTTGATCATCTGTAGTCATTTTATTGTTCTCATGAATACTAAGTCCTTCTCTGTGCATATAATGTTCCTATAAATAACAGAAACACATGTTTTATTGTTTCTTTTGTATAGTCTGGAGCATCTCGATTTAAAAATCCATCTTCATATGTCCTTTTTTTTTTTTTAACTAGGGTATTTATCTGCTCTCAGAATGATTTTTTTGCTGTCCAGTAAAACAATTTACTTTCATCTGTTCTTTCTGTAGCCCTCTTGTGGTTCTATTAGTGGTTTAAATCTTTTCATCTGTCTTGGGACATGCCTGGGTCATGGGGCTGCCGTTATCTGGGGCCACTGCTGAACCAGCTGCCTTCAACAGAACAGAATCTCAAGAGATGTATGGTGATTTTGCTACTGGTCAGGATTTACTACATTCACATAGAACAAAAAAGATGAAAATTTTAGAAAAAGCAAAATCATTGATAATTGAGGGTTCAGAAAGATGAAAGTTAGCTAAAAGGTATGATCAGTGCCTGATTGGAGAGAAATATTTTCTTCTTACTTCACAATGGCAAAAAAAAGTATGCATTTATTTTATTACTTACTCCTTTGGTCCATAATTATTTTCCTTTCAGATGTATCACACTGAGAATATTCAACGACTATAAAATGTGTCACCATAGTTGTAGGATTATTCTTTTTTTCCTCTATTCTAATGAAATTATATATTTTTATTTTTCTAGATTACGGTCTTTGGTCAAACAGTTAGAGAGAGGGGAAGCTTCAGTGGTAGATCTTAAGAAGAATTTGGAATATGCAGCCACAGTGCTTGAATCTGTGTACATTGATGAAACCAGGTAAGCTAAAAATGACAAAGAGATTAGGATAGTGATGGTAAATTTTCTGTTAAATGGCTTTTCTGACATTGTCCCCCATGCCAAGAATGGGGTGACATTCAAATTACTCATCTTGGAGTTTTAGTTTCCACAAACAAAGGGAATAGATCTGGACAAGTCATTTACTCTCTATATCTCCTTGTCTATAAAAGAAGCTAATAGAACTTATCTCACATGGTTGTCATGACAAGGAAGTGAGATCACAAAAGAGGAGAAAAGCTAATTTTTAAAAATCTGGTAAGATTTAAAGAAATAAACGTAGAGCTTTATTGTAATTATAGTGTGTTGTTAAGTGTCAGTCTAAAAGTCGTGTTTATGTTTTAATTCATAACATCCATTAAATGGAGGCTCCTCAAGCGATTGAGAAGCATGTGTTCTCTTAAACACCCAACTTTGCCTCTTCGATCTTATGTATGTTGCTGATTTACTTAGCAGACTTGCTCCACTTGAATTATCTAAAAATATAAAAGCGGTTTCAGTTACTACATGTATTTGAAATTACTTTCCTTTTGAAAAATGTTGAAATGTTGAACATGAAAGGTGGTTTCTTCCCCCTAACTCAGACAGGCTTCTCTGTCAGGACTTGTGATGCCTTACTTTTCTTTGCCAAATTCCAATCTGAAAGGATTTCACAGTAATCTAAGATTTGTATGGTTTATTATTATTATTTTGGCAACAGACTTGGTTTCTAATTTAAGGAAATTTGATGTCACAGCTTTTTTTTTCTAAATATTATGTTTCCTCTCCTTACCCCCTGCCCAATCAATAAGTCTAAAAGAAAAAAAAAAAAAAAGTCCATACACCCTTATATTGACAGCTACTTTTACTGCTAATTTTTAGTTGGGTTTACCATAAAAATGAAATGCTATTTTAGATTTCATTTTAATATTGCTATTTGTGTTCCATTCTAGTGGTCTGACCTATGAACAAATTTGAAAAATCAGCTAAACACAGCTGTCAGACAATTTAAATCATTGTGCGCAAATAAAGAACTGCATCATTTTGAAAATTTTGCTTGAATTTAGACATTTAAATTTTGGTAACAACCTATCAAATGATAAAGAATATTAATTGTCATCACTTAGGATCACTACTTCAGAGGACTCCGTTGCTGTGATTTAGTGAATATTTTGCGAACTCTCTAAATGTCCATTTATTAAAAACAAAATAACATCACATTGTCCATCTGTGAAATAATATAATGCTCCCTGTGAATGCATTTTTAAATAGAAGGTTTAAATTTCACTGAAATGCCACAGAGTGCTTCTGGGTGCAATGGACCAGTTCCTTTGTCCAGTCTGGTAGAGAGAACTATCGTGAAATATCAGTGGGGCCAAGACCATCCTGAAACACACATGGTGAGCTTACATAAGGATTACCAAAAAAGCATTGTATTTTTTGTGGCCAATTTAATTTGGTTTCTTTGCACCTGCATACAGGTGAGGCAGAGAAGAGCAGCTGCTTTGAACAGAGAGCTCCAGCTGCAGGTTTAAGCTCAGTGTCCTGGTTCTGTTTCTTGCGTTCAGGAGACTCCTGGATACAGAGGATGAGCTAAGTGACATTCAGTCAGATGCTGTGCCTTCTGAGGTCCGAGACTGGCTGGCCTCCACCTTCACACGGCAGATGGGAATGATGCTCAGGAGGAGCGAAGAGAAGCCCAGGTTCAAGAGCATCGTTCACGCAGTGCAGGCTGGGATATTTGTGGAGAGGTAAAGATGTCATTCATTGTCATTCAGTGACTAAAGCCCCAAAAGGAACACATTTCCAATAACTGGAAGCTTTGCTTTAATGTAGTTTTCCTATCTTTATAAATACTGAAAATTGTGGGTAAAAACAGATAGTCTTGAATGAGAAATGGCAAAAACATATCTATTTTAATCTCTGTAGCATCATTAAGAAAAGCTTTTGCTTTTGCTCAGAATTTTTTTGTTTACCAGAGAATATTTAGCTTGAGTTCTGTCTCTAATTTTTAAAGCAGGAAATCATCTCATCTATCATCTTTTGAAGTATGTGGATGATATCTCCATTTTGAACAGATCTAGGATGCTTTGAGGTTGCTGACCCAAGGGGAGGAGAGTTCATTTCAGTGGTTTGAAGTCCCCATTGACACTTCAATTTTTTAGCTATTTTACTCTTTGAAATCAAATTGACCCCCTTACCCAGCAATAGATTCCAGGAATAGATATATTCTTCCTACAATCCTTATCATATAATTACACGTTTTAGAAATACCATGGTGAGTTCAAAGATTACCTGGGACATTTTTCCTTCTTGTTTTTGACACTTCTAAAGAACAAGCTCTTCTAAATGGGTTACCCATAGGGATTCTTCATTCAGGTTAAATTACTACACTGCATTCTGTCTATTCTGTACTATAATTCACTATGGCAATAGAAGTGACCTATTTAATAATTTAATTTCCAGTCTGGGGACTATAGAGTTAGTTTTTTATTCCCCCCATGGTTCATGTGTTTGGGATTGCTTTAATTTCTTCTGAAATTAACCTTAGACCACTTGAGTGAATATAAAAAACAAATTTTAGGTTCTTTGGATCACCCCAGTTGACTTTTCATTATTTGTCAATACTTGGTATGAATCTGTGGACTACAAATCCCACTTTTTAAGATATCATGTTGCACTTTTCCCTTTTACCTTTGCAGAATGTACAGACGGACATCAAACATGGTTGGACTGAGCTATCCACCAGCTGTTATTGAGGCATTAAAGGTAATAGCAATGTAAAGATTTTCACAATGTACATGGTACCTAATAAAAAATAGAGTTAAATTTGTTAGAAAATAAGAGACTTTCATTTACAGTTATTTTCCCACTAATTCCTGACTTTTTCATTATCTTTTTATTGTCTGTTCTAAAAGTATCACTGTCTTTTCAACCTTCATCTTCCCAATTTAAAAATAATCAAACTCTGTGTGGGTTTCATTTCTTTCTACTACTCTAGAGTACTTTAGGTTTTATACAGTGATATGTCATTATGAGATTTATCTGATTTTTTCACAAGATCAATATGTTTTGGCCATAAGTATTCAACATTAGGAGGATCTTCAGTGTTTATAATTATACCATTATCTGACTACCTACTCCAAGTCCATTTTATACATGAATAAACCAAAACTCAGCAAGATTTTAAAAAAGAGTTAGAGACAGAGATAATGTTTGACACCAGAATTTTCAGCACATGTTAAGCTCTTAGTAATGTTTTACTGCATGCACGTATGGCCCTAGAGCCTTTGTCCCATCTATACATCCCATTGTTTTCCCGAGACTCTCATTGAGCCAAATATTCCCTTGGAACTCATACAAATATTTGAGTTTAAATGAGCTAAATCCTGCAGAATTACCTCTAATCAGGCAAGTTCTCGGAATTGTATAGAATATCTCTAGGAGCCCCAAAGCAGATGCATTCCTGAAGGCAGATGTTGATGAAGATCCATTGGTCTGAGGGTATTTGAGATTTGCTGAACTTGATTTGGCTTCTGGATTCCGGTGTGCTGCTGATCCTATAGCCCAGGATCACTGAGGTCGTTGGCATCGCATGTTGTCTGTGTATGGACTTGGGCCATGTGCTCAGGGACGTTATAGCATTTTGACCTTTGCTAAAGCCATTGTTTTCTTTCTTTAAAGCCTGAAAAATGTGATGATATTTTCAGAAGCTAAATTACCTGTTCATGGAGTTAGGAGTTGGGGAGTGCTTCTTGATTAATTTAATGTCAGGAAAGAGCCCCTTGGGACCATCTTGATTATATACTCACAGACCTTTCTCTTGTCTCAGAGACATTTACTAGCTGAATTTGAGAGACCAGATGTACATAGGTTCTCATTTCTCCTTTTTTTTTTTTTTTATCTCTACTCTTTCTGTCTCTTCTTACCTAATCTTAAAAGCAGGAAGGATACTCAGGTAGGACCCGGCAAGAAGACATGTCTTTTCTCTCATTCTTCTTTAACCTCTAATCTGATGCCCAATACATTAGTGTAAGGTACAGTGATATTTCCCATTTTAATCAGTGAAATCACTTCAGGAAATCTGATGTTTCTTAACATCCACTATGGAGTTGCATTGATTTTTATAATTGAACCTGAAACGTTCAATCAGAGTCTTAGAAACATTAAAGCCATCTTTTGTCGTTAATTTTTTCCTTTATCAGGAGCATAAATACAAGTGGGTATACTGATACCAAGATATTTGTTTAAATGTTTCTTCCAAATTGAAGCCTCTTTTCTATGCAGAATAACAAGAAAAATTGGAATAAACCGTGATGGGCATGAATTGTTATTTTATACTTAGGGAAAATAAATTCTTAAATGCACACATGTTGTCTGAAAGGACAGGTACTTCGATTATTCAGAAAAGGAAGACCTACTAGCTCTCTAAATAAATTGCTACTTCTCCACATATATTGTTGATACATGCATTAAGGCTGAAGCTGCTATTTCTCCTGGCTGTGTCCCCTATTTAATGGGGGAGTTCAAAGCTTTTTATAATATAATATTTTTCCACTTCTCCAGATGCTGATTTTATTTGCAATGAGTTGGAGAGATCACAGATATAGACTCTTGTTTCTCTCTTTATGTGCTTCATGTTAGAAAAAAGATTATTTCTACTTCATTGCCAGAAAATAGTAGTGATATGGAATCACTATTTTCTTTTATACAGAAAATTTCCCCATAGACTGAGAGAATACAATTCCCTAAAATAACCCTTTTGTGACTGTCATGTTAACCTTTGTGGTTAATGTAAGAACACGACATAAAATGATATTTAAGTAAGAGAACAATGAACTAGTCTCTAAATTTGAAACATGTTGCATTATGTTCTTTCTACTTTTTCCATTATTTGTAAGTATAGATGTAAGCTTCTAACTTGAGGTGTTCTATCTCTAGTCTTCTGAGGTTAGCCTAATGGAAATATAGCTGTGTGCTCTTCTTTAGAAGGGCATCTGTTTTGTGACTCAGGAGGTGACACCTTGGAAAGACTCCAGCTTTAAAGTGGGAAGGAGATGAGGAGTTCAGGCTTCCTTTGTGTTAGCCTAACAGGAAGTTCCTGCAATTTCTCTGTAGGACGTGTCCTTGGGTAAAATGTGGCAAAAGAGGAAGAATGGCTGAAGGCAGTTAAACTGGGTGCTTATGAAAAATGCAGATTCCAGGCCCCACACCAGGATTCTCTAGAGTCTCCACTGGAGAATCCATATTTTTGCTGAGCCCCTCAACTGGTTCTGAAGAACATTAGACTGAGAATTACAATTAGGGCTTCCCTAACATGAGGGACCAAAGAGGACATGCATCTCACTGCCTCTATTTGCTCATCCTCTTGGTTCTCTAAGTCCTGATAGTCACAAAAAATCTTGGCTTTTTATCATGATAATCTCTTTATTTCTAGCCCTTTCCTATTTTATTGGTTCTGGACACTATTACAAATTGTCAGAAGTGACACAATGTTTTCCAAACTTCTGAGCTGTCAGTGACTTTTTCCTTAGGACTGAATATCAGATATTATATGTGACTCATGGCAGTGCCAATGATAGTAACCAAGGTAAAGCTTTAGGACTTGGGTTAATCTTAAATGTCCTTGTTTTCCCACTAGCCTGGGCCCCAGTGGGATTTTAAAGGGATGAGGCCTGGGTCACAGCACATATTCATGGAGTTTACTATTTCATCTGTTGGCAGTGAGATCACTAGGGGTTGTTAGTGGGGTTATTACCTGGCTCTGGTACCTTATGGCACTAGACATTTCAATTAATCTCTCTGAGGTGGCCATCTATAAAACTGGAGAAAGTAACACCAATCTCTAGACCTGCCAGGTTTTGCAAATGTGTATAAACACTCACACTGTGCCTGGAACAGAAAATGTGCTCACAGAATGTGCCTTATTAGGATGTCCATTACCTGCAGTATTTACCATTTCTTTGGTTATTTTAATAGAGGGGCAGTCGTTGAAGACTGAAGTGAGGTTACCATTAAGTGTGAATTGGAACAACTCAATTGAAACCTATCTGGAAGTGTTTGATTTTCCTATATACAATTCTGTTTTCCCTGAAAACTGTTTATTAGCATCCAGGAGGGAGACCCTTGATGGCCTTGGGATGAATTTGACACATAGAATGTTTGAACAAGAACAAAATTATGATGGACAGATTATGTTGGAATTCAGTGAGGGCTGGGAAGAGAGTCACTTATGAGAACCAAGGTCTCTACCAGGGTACCAGGGTGCCTTGCCTGTAGGCAGTGTGGGCTCATGTGGATCCTTGCTGTCAGCTCAAGTCAGTATGCTTCACTTAACTATAGGAAGTGAGACTTTTGGTGCCATGAAAAACCAAATGACTGTTGCTTTAACTATTGCTTAAACAAATCTTTGTTTACTACATCCATAAGAAGTTGGTTACAATCAGCCAAAGCACATCAGACTATATTTACATATATTTTGGAGTAGCTATTTACAGGCAAAGACTTTGATCTTCAGGGATGGTAAATAAGGTGTATGTTCAGTTTAGTTTTTCCTTTTACTTTTTTTTCAGTAAAGTGACTTACAGATTTGAGGACAAGATCCCAGACTAGTGACTCCAGAAACGGTAGCATTTTTATGTCCTATGAAACGAATGCCTTCTTTTTGGTTTCAGCTCAGCAGTTTAGACTGATGTGACATATTATTTTGTATTCTATATCACGCATGTTTCTGAACTCTTACAAATGAGTTAACATTCTTAACTGTAAACTTAGAGGAAGTCATCGGGCAGTGTCAAGGGACCGGAGAGAAGTTCAGAGAAGAGAAGCGCCCTAGGCTGTAGCGAATTAAACGGTAGCAGCTGCAGGGCGTAATGGAAGGTGACTGATATCAGGCATCCAATCTATGTTTGTGTTCTGGCCCCACCTGTATCCCCAGCACTTACTCACCTTGAGTGTTAGGGAAATTAGGTAATTTATCAGTTTTCTTATCTGTAAAATGTGACTAATATCTATCACTTAGAGTTGTTTTCAGGATAAATTGCACATTTATCACCAACCATAATGCCTGCCATACATAAGTACTCAATAAATTATGGCTATTTTTATTAGTAATAAAACTATTTAATGTTTTTAAATAATGTAGGCTAGCCAGACTGAAAAAAATTTGAGAGTAGAAAGGCTGTAAGAGTCTCACACTGTGAAATCTCCAGTGAGGGCTGCAGGCAGATTTGAAAGTGGGGAGTTTGGTAGGTGTGTAAGTGACATTGGCCTAATGTGTTCTTTCTCTCCACCCTGTCCTGTAGGATGTGGACAAGTGGTCTTTTGATGTCTTTTCCCTCAATGAGGCCAGTGGGGATCATGCATTGAAATTTATTTTCTATGAACTACTCACACGCTATGATCTGATCAGCCGTTTCAAGGTCAGTATCTCTTTAAAAAGAAAAATAAATAAACTACGTGCATGTGTTTATCCTCATATGACCTTTGGGTTCAGATACTTTTAATATGCAGAATGAAAACTGCTCCAGGCGACTAAGGAAGCATCCTTCGGATAGCCACTGCTGTGAATTCTTCTGTGGAGGGTGCTTTTGATTACACCCCTGCTGGTGGATCTCAGTGGCATGGGAGAGATGGGAGAGAATGGAGAGACCCATTTAGATTCTGGTCTTCCTGGAATTACAACCTGAATCCCGAAATAACCAAGCTCCCCCTCAGGCTCTGTTCACAGGTCTCATTTCAACATGGCTTTGTGTCCTATCAACCAACACCGTCAGAGAGACAGTAATGGAGACAGAGTGGGCATCTGCTGTCTCTGTAAACCTTTTTTTCCCACCACTTGGCTCATTCAGACAAGTACTATCACTTATCATCTGTGACAGCTCATTAGTATTTCCCCACCATTTATGCTTCAAATTAATTCTCCAACTTTACGTAAAAGAACGTGAATCATTTCCAGTGTTCAATTCCCTACAGCCTTCTAATACTACAGACTCTCGAAGTGGGGTCAGATCCTCAAGGACTTGAGGTATTCATCTGCCAACATCTGTGGTTTCGAGCTCCTCTGACTTCTCTCATCAAAGGGATGAGCTTCTGGAAAACACAAGTCTTTTTCTGTACAACATCTTGATTTCTCCAGAGACATGGTTCTTTATACTCTCCTAGGGACTGTATATTTGTATATATATATTTTTAGTACAAATATTGTGGGTATTTATAGGGTATATGTGATACTTTTTACATGCATAGACTATGTAATGATTAAGTCAAGGTTAGTAAGATGTCCATTACCTGCAGTATTTATCATTTCTGTGTGTCGGGAACCTTTCAAGTCCTCTCTTCTAGCTGTTTTGAAGTACACAAAACAGTCTTGTTAACTGCAGTCACACTACTCTGCTATTGAACATTAGACTTTAATCCTGTCTTTTTTTTTTTTGAGATGGAGTCTTGCTCTGTCCCTCAGGCTAGAGTGTAGTGATACGATCGCAGCTCACTGTGACCTCTGCTAGGTTCAAGTGATTCTCCTGCCTCAGCCTCTTGAGTATCTGGGACTACAGGCATGTACCACCATGCCCAGCTAAGTTTTTGCATTTCTAGTAGAGACAGGGTTTCACCATTTTAGCCAGCATGGTCTCAGTATCCTGACCTTGTGATCCACCAATCTCAGGCTCTCAAAGTGCTGGGATTACAGGTGTGAGCTACCACGCCTGGCCTAATCCTTCTAACCAACTGTATGTTGGTACCCATTAACCAACCCCTCTTTATCACCAACCCCTGAACCCCGACACACATCCCAGTCTCCAGTACCTATCATTCTACTCTCTAATTGTGTAAGATCAACATTTTTAGCTCCCACATCTGAGTGAGAACATGTGCTATTTGTCTTTCCATGCCTGGATTATTTTACTTAATGTAATGACTTCCAGTTCTATCCATGTCATTGCAAATGACGTGATTTCATTCTTTTTAATGGCTGAATAGTATTCCATTATGTATGTATACCAGGTTTTCTTTATCCATTCATCCACTGATGGACACTTAGCTTGATTGTGTATGGTACTCAAATAAACATGAGAGTGCAGATATCCCTTTGATACACTGATTTCTTTTCATTTGGATAAATACCCAGTACAGTAGTGAGATTGCTGGATTGCATGGTAGTTCTACTTTTAGGGTTTTTTGTTTTTCTGGGTTTTTTTGTTTGTTTGTTTTTTGAGAAATCCCCACACTGTTTTCCATGGTGACTGTACTAATTTACATTCCCACCAACAGTGTAGAAATTCTCCTGTTTTTCTACCTCCTCACCAGCATCTTTTAAAAAATAATAATAACTATTCTTACTGGGATGAAATGATATCTCATTGTGGTTTTGATTTGTATTTCTCTGATGATTAGTGATGTTGAGCATGTTTTTCACATATGCACTGTCCATTATATGTCTTCATTTGAGAAATGTCTATTTACATCTTTGCCCACTTTTCAATGGGATTATTTGTTATTTTTACCAAGTTGAGTTTCCTGTACATTCTGGAGATTAGTCCTTTGTCAGATGAATATTTTGCAAACGCTTCTCATATTTAACAGATTGCCTCTTCACTCTCTTGTTTCCTTCCTTTACCATGCAGAAGATGTTTAGTTTAATGTAGTTCTGTTTGTCTATTTTTGTTTTTATTGCCTCTGTTTTTGAGGTCTTATCCATAACATCTTTGCCTAGACCAATGTCTTGAAGTGTTTTTTCACTCTTCTGGTTTTTACAGTTTTGAGTCTTGTGTTAAAGTCCTTAATACATCTTGAGTTGATTTTTGTATATGATAAGAGATGGGTGTCTAGTTTTATTCTTCTATATATGAATATGCCATTTTCCCAGACTTATTTATTGAAGGAGGTGTCCTTTGTAAGTTTTTGGTGCCTTTGTCAAAAATCAGTTAGCTGCAAATATGTTGATTTATTTATGGGTTTCCTATTCTATTCCATCGATCTATGTATCAGTTTTTATACTATTACCATGCTGTTTTGGTTTCTGTAGCCTTGTAACATATTTTGAAATTATGTAGTGTGATGCCTCCAGTTTTGTTGTTTTTGCTCAGTATTGTTTTGGCTAATTGGTCTCTTCTGGGGCTCCCTATATATATATTTTTATTTCTGTGAAAAATGGCATTCGTATTTTGATAGAGATTGCATTGAATCTGTAAATTGCTTTGGGCAACATGGTCACTTTAACAACATTAATTCTTCCCATACAGGAGCATGAGATGTCTTTCCATTTATTTGTGTCCTCTTCAATTTCTTTCCTCAATGTTTTGTAGTTTTTCCTAGGGAGGTCTTGTACCTCCTTGGGTAAATTTATTCCTAGGTATTTTTTTTTGGTAGCTATTGTAAATATACTATAAACGACATTGCTTTCTTGATTTCTTTTTTTGGCTAGTTCGTTGTTCATGTATAGAAACATTACTGACTTTTGCAACTTTTATTTTGTTTTTTTAATGTAGAGATAGGATTGCACTATGTTGCCCAGGCTGGTCTTGAACTACTGGCCTCAAGCAATCAGCCTCCCCAAATGCTAGGATTACAGGTATGAGTCACTATGAGAAGCCAGTACTGATTTTGGTATGTCAATTTTGTATTCTGCAACTTTACTGGATTCATCAGATCGAAGACTTTTTTTGATAGAGTCTTTAGGTTTTTCTAGATATAAGATTATATCATCTGCAAAGAGAGAAAATCTGACTTTATCTATTCCAATTTGGATGCCCTTTATATCTTTCCTTTGCCTGATTGCTCTAAGACCTCAAGTAATATGTTGAATGCAGTGGTAAAAGTGGAGATACTTGTATTGTTCCAGTTCTTATAGGAAAGCCTTTCAACTTTTCCTCATTCAGTATGAAGTTAACTATGTGTTTTTATATATTATCTTTATTATGTTAAGATATGTTCTTTCAATTCCTGGTTTGTTGAGTTTTTATCATGAAGGAATATTGAATTTTATCAAATGTTTTCTCTGCATCTATTGAGATTATCATATGGCTTTTGTCCTTCATTCTCTTAATACATGATGTATCATCATGTTTATTGGTTTGCATATGCTGAACTATCCATGTATCCTTGGGATTGATCCTACTTGATCATGGTGTATTATCTTTTTGATGTGCTGCCAGATTCAGTTTGCTAGTATTTTGTTGAGGATTTTTCATCTATGTTCATCAAGGGTGGTGGCCTGTGGTTGTGTTTTATTATTGTTGCAGCCTTGTCTGGTTATTGTGTCAGGGAAATACTGACATTGCAGAATGAGTTAGGGAGAAGAAGAAATTTCCCCTTCAATTTTTTGGAATATTTTAGAAGAACTGATGTTAGTTCTTTGAAAGTTTGGGGGAATTTGATAGTGAAGGTATCTGGTCCTAGACTTTTCTTTTTGGGGAGAATTTATATTACTGATTCAAACTCATTACTCATTATTGGTCTGTCCAGGTTTTCTATTTCTTCATGATTCAGTCTTGGTAAGTTGTATGTCCAGGGACTTATCAATCTCCTCTAAGTTTTCCAGTTTGTTAGTACATAGTTGTTTGTAATGGTCTCTGATAATCTTTTGTATTTCTGTGGTATCAGTTGTAATATCTCCCTTTTCACTTTTGATGTTGTTTATTTGAATCTTCTCTTTTTTTCTTTGTTAGTCTAGCTAGCAGTTTTTTTGTTTGTGTTTTCAAAAAATCAACTTTCATTTTATTGCTCCATTGCATTGTTTTGTTACTCTCTATTTTATTTAATTCTGCTCTGATCATCATTATTTCTTTTTCTTACTAATTTGACTTTGGTTTGATCTTACTTTCTTCTTCATTGAGGTGAAGTGTTAGATTGTTTACTTGGAATTTTTCTACTTTTTGGACACATTTTTTGCTATGAATTTCCCTCATAGCACTGCTTTTGCTATCTCATAGCTTTTGATATGTTGTGTCTAGAGTTTCATTTACTTTAAAAATGTTTTTATTTCCTCCTTAATTTCTTTCTTAATTGAATGGTAATTTAGGAACATGTTATTTAATTTCCATGTATTTGTATAATTTCCAAATTTCATCTTGTTGTTAATTTCTAGTTTTATTTTATTGTGATCTGAGAAGACACTTGATATTATTTTGATTTTTAATTTTTTTGAGACTTATTTTGTGTTCTAACATATGGTCTAGGCTGGAGAATGTTCTTCATGCTGATGAGAAAAATCTGTGTTCTGTAACTTGGATAAAATGTTCTGTAAGTGTCTATTAGGGCCTTTTGGTCTAATGTGAAATTTAAATCCAACTTTGTTAATTTTCTGTATAGATGTTCTGTTTGATGCCGTGATAGAATGTCAAAGTGTCAAACTATTATTGTATTAGAGTCTCTCTCTTCTTTAGGTCTAATAATATTTGCTTTATACATCTGGGTGCTTCAGTGTTAGGTGTGTGTATGTTTAGAAATGTTATATCCTTTTGCTGAATTGATTCTTTTTTCATTATACCATAACTTTGTCTCTTTGTACTATTTTTGACTTAAAGTCTGTTTTATCTGTTATAAGTATAGCTACTCCTGCTTGCTTTTGATTTCCATTTGCATGGGATTTTTTAAAATGTCTATTTCTTTTCAGTCTATATGTGTCTTTACAGGTGAAAAGAGCTTCTTTTAGGTGGCATATAGTTGGATCATCAATTCTTTCTTTTTTTTTTTTAAATCCATTTAACCAGTCTATTTTTTAAGTGGGAAGTTTAACCAATTTACATCTAAGGTTGCTATTGATATGTTAGGACTTATTCCTGTCATTTTATTAATTGATTGCAGATTTATTATGTATCCTTTCTTACATTCTTATTGTTTATAATTGTGGTTTGGTGGTTTTCTGCAGTGGTAACATTTGGATTTTTTTCTCTTCCTTATTTGTGTATTTGCTCTATCAGTGAGTTTTTTTTTTTTTTTCCATTTTTCATTTTCATGATGGTAGATATCGTTTCTTTGTTTCCAGGTGTAAGATATCCTTAAGCATTCATTGTAGGTCTGGTCAAGTGATGAGGAATTCCCTCTACATTTGCTTGTCTGGAAAAGGCTTTATTTCTCCTTCATTAATGAAAAATAGCTTTGCTAAATATAGCATCCTTGGTTGGCATTTCTTTTTTAGCTCTTTGAATCTATTAACTCATTATCTTTTTGCCTTTAGGGTTTCTGATGAGATATCTTCTGTTCTTCTGATGAAGTTTTCCTTATAAGTGAATACATGTTTTTCTCTTGCTGTTTTTAGAATTTTTTTTGTCTTTGATTTTGACAGTTTGACTCTAATGTGCTGTGGAGATCTTTTTGAATTGTATCTGTTAGGGAATCTTTGGGCTTCCTGTGTGTGGGTATCTAAGTTTCTTGCTACATTTGGGAATTTTTCCAGTAGTATTTTGTTAAATAGGTTTTCTAACTCTTTTGTTTCCTCTTTGCTTTTGGGGACACTGAAAATGCAAATATGTTATTGTTTAATGGTTGTCTGGTTACCACATAGGCTTTGTTTATTCTTTTTTTATTATTATTATTTTTGCCAGACTGCATTTTTTGTTAGGATCTGTCTTCTAGTTCTGAACTTTTTTCTTCTTGCTTGGTCTAGTCTACTGTTGAAGGTTTAAAATGTATTTTGTATTTTATTAAATGAATTCTTCCACTCCATAATTTCTGTTTGGTAATTTGTATGATAGCTATCTCTTTAGTAAATTTATCATTAATATCCTGAATTGTTTTCTTGATATCTTTGTATTACTTTTATGTATTCTCTTGTATATCATTGAACCCCTTTAGAAACAATAATTTGAATTATTTATCCAAAACATCATAAACTTCATTTTGATTGGGGTCTCTTGCTGGGTAATTTTACAATCCTTTGGAAATGTCATACCTCCTTGCTTTATAAATGTTTCTTGTGTCCTTATGTCAATATCTATGTATTTTGTGTAACAGTCGCTTCTTTACATTTTTTTTTCTTTGTTTTTTTTTTCCCATTTATTTATTTTATTGCAGCTTCTTTACATTTTTAAAATTTGCTTTCACAGGGAGAACTTTTTCCTGAAGATGTATCTATGGTGTTGGTTGGGTAGAGAACTTTGGCTTTGATTCTGGGTGTACACAGTAGTGCAATCTTTGTATGATTCCTTTGGCTGTAAACTATGTCAGTGGTGTATGTGATTTCTTCAGTAACTTAGAGTGTAATTGTTAGTGGAGGCTGTAGTGAAGTTTCACTGCAGATGGGATGCCATTTGGGCCTGACCATCGGCCTCAGTAGTGGCAGTGGTTGGCCAAGCATGCCTGTCCCATGCCTTGGGCCCCAGGGAGTTCTACACTTGCACTGGTGTTAGCAGGTTCAGAAGGCCTGATTCTTGGGCTTCCAGCTGGCTTACTCAGGAGCCAGTGGTGACAGCAGTGGGCCAAGTGGTTGGGGGCTGCTCAGTCCCCTGAACAGTAGGCATGGCATGAGCATTGGCAATAGCAGTGGTGAGACTAACTCCTCAGTTGCAAGCATCATAGAGGTGGCTACGACAATCTGGGTGGAGTAGTCTCCAGGCTCACAGAGCCCTTCCCACTGAGGAAATATGTCTTTACATGGCCACAAATACTTCATGGTCATGGTCCTTAGGTCCTTAATTTTTCTTTTCATCAGAAATCTGCAAGAAAATCTTATGGATTCTGGAGACTCTCCTTGGAAAAAAGTTCCTGCATGAAAATGTGCACGTGTGCGCACGCGCACACACACACACAGACACACACAGAGCCCTTGCAAGCTATTCTTAGATGTCTATAAAACAACCCAAGGAGCCCAGGTTCATTGGATCTTTATTTTTCAAAATTGTAATGAATTCATCTGTGACCTCATAAAGGTCATATTTAAATTTATAAAAATCCACACATGGTAAAATGGAAGAATACACCCAAGGGAGAACAAATCATGGAATCTCAGAAGCATTAACTTAGCATTTTCCTTATTTTTTTCTTACAAATGTAATTGTTAATCCTCAGGAAGACACACCCTTTCCTTTTCCCTAGACTTATATTGTATAATTTACCCTGAACCATGGAATGGATCCAGAAAATGAATGCAATGAATGTTTTCTGGATGCCCTTATTTTGTACATGAAATTTGCAGTGTTCTTCACTGCTACATAGAAAAGAAAGGCATGTATATTATGTATATTTCAGATGGAAAAACAATTAATCTAGTTGGAAAGATTCCAAGTGACTGGTAGTTGCAAATAAAGGCTGAAGTATTTTATTTGTGGAGAAATAAATGAATACATACTATGCAGCATATCTCATTTATTTGTAGGAAAACAAAGTACACAAAAATCTTAAGTTATGAAATTATTGCAAAACAAATATAAACTGCCTGAAAAGAATCCCATTTGAAAGGAGTGGTTAAGTACATTGAACACATGAGAAAAACAAAACAAAATTAAAACCTAAAAACAAAACTCAAAACCAAAACGTGACAGTCTGTTTTTATATATGGGAACAGGAACAGGCTATGTTCTTATGTTTGTTACTTGGCAATTTATTATTAGTGACTTAGAATTGGAAGATCTCATTCTACTGATGTTAGGTTACAAATAGTGAATGATTCCACAAACTAGTACTAATTATTAGTATTATTTTCGAGTTCCTCAGTGTTGTTTACAACACTATTTGGTGTCCTATGTAGCATCTTGTTTTCCCTTGGGGTTAGAGGGGAAGGATGTTTAAGAGTAGATGAGGACAAGGAAATACAGAAAATTAACATAGTCACCAACAACCAAGTTTTCTAGTTGTGTATTAAACATTACTGCTTTCCATGTCAATAAAACTAAGTATCTTGAAATGATTCAATGTCATTTCTCAGGGATTCTGAAATGAGCAACAAAGAAAAATGTACAGGGCCGACTATTAACCAAGAACTTCTGTTAGAATTCAAAATTATCTGATAATTTTGTCAGTAACTTTTATTAACTGTGTAAAGTTTCAATTCCCTCTTGTGATATGTTATGCCTTCAGAAAAAAGCAGTCCTAGTGCCTTAGACTTTTGTGTCTCCATTGAAAGCAGCAAAGTCACTAGTTAATTAACCTCACTGCTCTCTTTCAGATCCCCATTTCTGCACTTGTCTCATTTGTGGAGGCCCTGGAAGTGGGATACAGCAAGCACAAAAATCCTTACCACAACTTAATGCATGCTGCTGACGTTACACAGACAGTGCATTACCTCCTCTATAAGACAGGAGTGGCGGTAAGTATGGATAGGAACTCTTAGGTTCCCCAGAAGATGCAAGAATGAATTTTTAATGGTGACTGTTCTGATGAGGTGGAGGCCATGAGTGGTGCATTGTTTTATGGACTTCCTGTTTTCCAGGAGTAATCTAACCAATATGGAAAGTCTTGGAGTTTCCTGTTGCCTCTAAAATTTTTTCCATCCTGAGCCTGATGAGATAAATGCCTGGTAGTGACTTTCGTCTTCACCAGGTTGTAACCAATTCAAATATAACAGCTACAACTAAATATATATTTCTAGATATGGAGAGTGGTACTATTAACCTTTAGCTGTGGTCAATAATGATGACATTCATGCATACTGAAACTGTATTCAATGTACTTGGCAACCATGCTATGCAAAGTTAGATTTTGGTTTAAACCACTAGGTCTTTTTCATAGGGACTATGGTGATTCATATCCTATTTGTATGCCTATTTGTATGCCTATATGTATCCTAAATATGCCAGGCATTATTTTTAACTTAAGAGTAAATCTTTACTTCTAACCATTTGGAGTGTTTCTTGCTTCTTTTGGCTCAACATTGTAGCTCTTTAGATATTTTTGGTTTTGCCTTAAAATTTTTTTTTAACAGATCGGAATCTCAGTCTATCACCCAGGCTGGAGTGCAATGGAGCGATCATAGCGCACTGCAGCCTCTAACTCCTGGGTTCAAGTGGTCCTCCTGTCACAGCCTGTTGAGTAGCTGGGACTATAGGCGTGCATCATCTTCAGTTGTTTTTGAATCTCTGTTCTGTGTTTACTCACCTGCTCAACTTGGTTGTCTTTGCTTTTTTTTTTTTTTTTGCTTTGATGTAAGCCATTCATTTAAAAAGATATAGTCATTAGAGGCAAAAGCAGGCCTGTATGACTTTTTACTTTGAAAGATCCTTCAGAATTACATTAGGATAGACATTCTTTGGGGATAGTTATCAATTATCCCATAAACTCAGGGCACATTTGTTATCTTTTCTTCCAGTGCCTGTTTAAAGACTTGGCCTAATATCTCACTGAATTAAAAAAGGAATATGTGGGAGGAGTGTGGGCTTTGGAGCTAGATACAGTGACTATAATTCCCTGCTTAATTGCTTACTAGATATTGTGACTGATGATAAATTACTTGAGTCTCTGAACGAAGACTTCCTCATTTTTTAAAATGCTGAAAAATATTCCACTTTGTAGAAGTGATGGTTAGGAATAAAGTTTCAAAATATTAAGTACTCTGCCTCATAAAAGCAGCTCAAAAATCAGGCATTATTATTGTTAAAACATTGCAGAATTTTCCTAAAGTCTAATATCATTTTTTCCGGTTATTCCTTATTATGAAGCTGATTTCTTAAAAATAGTATTTAAAACACTATCTTTGAAGTTATAGCAAGATTATTAAGGGAAGATTTTTAACCCAATAAAAGGTTTTTACTAAACATTTAGAGCAAGTGTCATATTAAATAATGGTCCCATGAATACCTGGAGCAAGACAGGGATACCCACATTAATACTGCTACCTGGCATTTTTCTGGAAGTGTCAGCTTCAAGAATGCAGTATGTAATATACGATATGATATCTTCAAAAGGTCAAGATACAGTCTGTGAAATAATGTGATTTCTAAAATTTCCTTTAGAAAATAAAAGAAAACCTTACAAATTCTTAGATCAATACAGTCTCGATAAAAGAGCTCGCCCATGCACTGGAAATTAATGAGTGTAATAGAGAAATGTTCATTCCCAACAGTTTTTAAAAAGTCTACAAATCACCTATACAGAGCTTCAAAAACAATAAAAAGGAAACTGTAAAACTAAATCAAAGGGCACAAAAATGATCTTTAAATAAATGGAAAAGGCATCATGTTTTTAATGGGAGTAAAGCCTCAGGATTATATAGATGTCAGTTTCCCTCAAAGTAATCTATACATTCAAAGCAATACTAATCAACGTTTCAAGGATTTTAACATGAAACATGATAATGTGAATCTGAAATTCATGTCAAATAGGTATTTCACAACCTTAAAAAAGACAACTTTGTAAAAGAACAATGTAAAGGGGAGTGGTTCTTACTCTCTTAGATATTACAATATCTACTGAAGCTGAGCATGTACTGCTTGTGAAAAAAACAGGCAAATGTATCAATAGAATTGATTAGAGTTTCAAAAAATAAACCCAAATGTTTATAGATAACTTATATTGTGAGTCCTTTATTATAGGATGCTATAGACTGAATGTTTGTGTTCTCTCAAACTCCTCTGTTGAAATCCTAACTTCCAATGTGATGGTATTAGTTAGTGGGTCCTAGAGGAGGTGACTAGGTCATGAGTGTAGAACTGTAGTGAATGGGATTAATGCCTTTATAAAAAAAAGTTCCCTTCCCTCTTCTGCCATGTGAGGACACAGTCCTCTATAAATCCAGAAGCAGGCCCTCACCAGATGCCAAATCTACCAGTGCCTTGATCTTAAGGTTCCCAGCCTCCAGAACTGTGAGAAATAAACTGTTGTTTATAAGTCACCCAGCCTATGGTATTCAGTTATAGCTGCTCAAATGGACTAAGACACAAGATAGGAGGATATCAGTGCTCCTGCAGAACTTAACATTCTAGTGTGAAGTTACAGATAGAAGAGACCAGTGGAAATTAATCAAGAAAATGTTATTAATACTCTGCAGAGAAGTAAAATAGAGCACCTACCTAGGGAAAGCTGGGTGTTTTATTAGATAGGAAAGGACTCTCTAGAGATAGTATTTAAGCTGAGATCGTTGGGATTTTTGGCTTCAGCTATGCTAACAGTGAAAGAAGAGTATGACTGCAGAGTTAGTGTAGGGTTTTAGTACAAGAGTCCTGTGAGAGAATAACTTTGCTACATTCAAGGAGCAGAAGTAAGGCAAGCCTGGTGGGAACAGCACATGATGGAGACCGTGGTGCATTATGAGGCTGAGGAAGAAGTGGTAGCTAGGCCAGGTCTGGCTTTACAGGCCTCGGTAATGAGTTCCAATTTTATCTTGAGTGCAATCGGTAGAAAGCCACTATTGGGTTTTAGACAGAGGAGTGATGTGATCTGATAAAGATTCAAAAAGGATTCCTGTGGGGAATGGATTTTAAGGCAGCCTGCTAGAAAAATCTTGCAGAAACCTAGCGAAGAGACGCTGGTAGTTTGGACTAGGAAGGATGCTGCTGATGGAGAGGAGAAAATGCTGTTTCTGAGACAGAGATAAAAGGACTGCTGTGGTGAATAGGATTTGGGACATTAAAGTGGGGAATCGAGAATATATCTTAGATTTGTGGTTTGATAAACAGAGTTGACAAGAATGCCTGGTGACAAACCAATTTTTGGAGGAAAGGGGATCAAGACTTCTGATTTAGACATGTGGATTTCAAAATCCCTAGGCATCCATGTACAGAGGGCAAGCAGAAAAAAAATTAAAGGATACCAAAGTTCCAGGGGAGGTCAAGGATAAATATATAGATTAGGTAGTCTTGGGCATATCAATACTATAAGAAGACAGGGAACTAGATGAGATTATCTAAAGGGAGAATGAATAGAGAAGTAGAAGGGGCTCTGAAGTGAGTCCTAGAACACTCCAAAGATCAAAATGAAGGCAAAGAGTTAAGAGTCAGCAATAGAAACTTAAAAAGAATGGCCAATGACATGGGGTATAAACCAAGAGAGTTTGGAGTCATGGAAGCCAAGGAAAGAGAATGCTTCAAGAAGAGAGTGGTGCATTGCATGGGGCATGCCGATGGTCAAGTAACATAAGGACAGAGAAGTGACCATGCGCTCTGGCAACATGGAAGTCATTGTTGACCTTGACATGAGTTGTCTCAGTGGTTTGGTGGGAATGGAACACTGACTAGAGTATAATAACGAAAAACTTGCAGGTGAGAACATGAAGACATGACTATAGACAACTTTGTAGGGAAAATTACCCAGTTTAAAAAATATTTTGATTACAGTTATTTATTTAGAAAAACAGAATGCTTTTGTTCTACTTCGAGTCATTCGCCCACCAAAGAAATCTGACAAATGAATTAAAGATGTAAATGCAAAAGTAAAAATTTGATAATATTAGAAGAAAAAATGAGAATATGTTTATAGCCTTGAAAAAAGACATTTTAAAAATATTAAGCTTTGAAACACGAGTTGTTCCATAAAATATTGATTAATTTGAATACATTAAAGTTAAAAACTTCTGTAGGATAAAAAGCATCGTAAACAAAATAATGAAGTAAGCATTTGGAGAACATACGTAGAGAGCATGGATTCAGAGCCAGATTGTATAAATAAATCAGGAAAATGACACAAATTCAGTTAAAAAATATGAGCAGGCAATTAACAGAAAAGGTAATACATTTAATCAATAAAAGAAGTATGAAAAGATGCACCACTCGTTAGTATCCAAGGATATATAAACTTATACCAATTTTAATCCATTATATACATATGGATACAAATGTTGAAAGTTTGATAATATTAGTTATCAGTTAGGATGTAGAGCAGGGTTTCTCAACCTCAGCACTATTGATGTTTGGGGCCAGTTTTTGTTGCTTTTCTATACGTTTTAGTGTAGCAGTATCTGACCTGCAGTCACTAGATGCCAGTGGCACTACTCCCCACTCCAGTTATGACAACCAATCATGTCTCCAGACGTTGCCAAATAAACCACTGGTTGGAGGGTGATTGTCCCAAGTTGAGAACCACTGATTGAGAAGAAATTATATTCTCATATACTGCTCATCTGAGGGTAAATTGGTATAGTCATGTAAGAAAACAATTCTGCAGTAATTGCTATAAGGAAAAATATACACACCAATGCTCCAGTACTTCCAAGTGTACCCAAGGAGGCCTTGTACAATCAGATTCATTGTAGCAATGTTTGCCATAGTGAACAATTACAGAGTATATATCTATCAAAAGGGAGTTAGAACTCTGGAATACCATAGATTTCTATGTCTAAAAATCAAGATGTATTATTAAGTTTAAAAAGTTGTGGAA